TATTGTATATATAAGAGATATCTAATAAATGGTATATATGTGATATATTTGAGATATGAGAGATCTATGATATCTATAATATTTGAGAAATTTGGGCTTAGTTAATTTAGCCATTTATATCCAAATCACATGTACTAGATTTAGTACTTCATCAAAATCGTCCTGATCTTGTGATCCCGTGATCAGAATTACATGATTTTGTGCTCATTAGAACCGTCTTAGTGAGCGAATCTAATGGTAGTTGATTAATCCAAATTGGTCTGGTACATCAAAAGTTATGATCGAAATATAAAACTTTTAATGTTAACACCACGTTGAAAGATTTAAATCTTTATTCAAATAATCTTGGATCAAAAGAAGAAAAGCATTGGCTAATGCACTTCTTTGAAAAATTGATCATTGTAATAATCTTAAATCAGAAGGAGGAAAAGCATTCTTTATAAGAACATTACCTTAACTTCTTTATATCTTTGTTCGAATAATCTTAGATCAGAAGGAGGAGAAGCATTAGCAAATGTACTTTGCAAAAACCCAATACTGACTACTTTGAATCTTGATCATAATAACCTTAAATCAGAAGAGGTAAAGCATTAGCAAATACACTTTGCAAGAACACCACCTTAACTTCTTTACATCTTTATAATAATAATCTTGGATCAGAAAGCGGAAAAGCATTAGCAAATGCACTTTGCAAGAACACCATGCTGACTACTTTGGACCTTGGTCATAATAATCTTGGATCAGAAGGAGTAAAGGCATTAGTAAATACACTTTGCAAGAACACCACCTTAATGTCTTTATATCTTTATAATAATAATCTTGGGTCAGAAGAAGGAAAAGTATTAGAAAATACACTTTGCAAGAACACCACCTTAATTTATTTACATTTTTATAATAATAATCTTGAATCAAAAAGCGGAAAAGCATTAGCAAATGCATTTTGCAAGAACACTACGCTGACTACTTTGGACCTTGGATATAATAATCTTGGATTAGAAGGAGGAAAGGCATTAGTAAATACACTTTGCAAGAATACCACCTTAATGTCTTTATATCTTTATGATAATAATCTTTGATCAGAAGAAGGAACAGCACTAGTGGATCACTTTGCAAGAATATTACACTGAAAAGTTTAAATCTTTATTTGAATAATCTTGGATTAGAAGGAGAAAAAACATTAGCAAATGCAACACACACTGACTACTTTGGACCTTGGTCATAATAATCTTGGATCAGAAGAAGGAAAAGTATTAGCGAATGCACTTTCAAGAATATCACGTTAAAAAATTTAAATCTTAATTTGAATAATCTTGGATTTGAAGGAGGAAAAGTATTAGCAAATGCACTTTGCAAGAATATCACCTTAACTTCTTTACATCTTTATGATAATAATCTTGGATCAGAAGGAGGAAAAGCATTAGCGAATGCACTTTTAAAGAACACTGCACTAGAAAATTTGAATCTTTATTCAAATCAACTTGGGTCAGAAAGTGAAAAAGCATTAGCGGATACACTTTGCAAGAACATTATGCTAAAAGATTTAAATCTTTGGTCAAATAACCTTGAATTAGATATAGGTAAAGCACTAAAAGCTGCATTTTGTAAAAACAATACTCTGAAC